GGGATTGCCCTGACCCAGGTGCATGCCAGGACCAAGGGGACGAGGAGAGACAGAAGAGCCATTGGGAGGATGTAAGGGAAGAGGAGAGGCAGCAGCACAGCAGTGCTGGGAGGGCTGCAGGTACCAGCCAGGGAACTGGGCAAGTGCTGGTTGTGGGGCAGGGCAATGGTGCTGGATGCTCAGGGTGGCTCTGGGCATTGGGCAGAGGAGTTGGGACATGAGCAGTGTTGGGTGGTGGGGCTGGGTGCAGATGGTCGTGCTGGGCTGGTGCCTTCATGCTGTGTCTGGGGGGATGCTTCTGTGGATAACTGAACGGTGATGCTGGGTGCTTGGCATCAGTGCTGGTCATTAGCTGCTGTGCTCTGCTCCACTGAAGAGCACGCTGGGAAATGTGGGGGGGATGGTGTCAGACCTGTTTAGATCTGCTGCCCAGGCATCGTGCAGAGCCCTGGGAGGTTTTCTGAGTGCTGGGAAGATCCTTCAGTACAGGGTGACATGTGATGGCTTTGAGAGGCCAGGAACAGCCACGGGCTGGGGGGCACCAGCACGTGACTTGCCCATTTTCCTCGTGAAAGCCATTTTCCTCACCCAGGGCTGTGGGACTTGGCTCCGAGCAAAGCTGTAGCTCTGGGGCTGGGACCATGAATGCTGATTGTGACCTTCAGTGCCTTGCCAGCCCTCTCAGAGCCACCACAACTCCTCTGCCTCCTTTGGCAAATGGGATGTTTTTCCTGCCATTCTCAATGCAGCGGAAATTGCCCCAAGCTGATTCATGACAATGGTGCCTTCAACTCATTTGTCCTGTCCGGGAAGCAGGCGGCAGCTCCACAGAGCAGGACAGGGACAAGCCAGCCTGGGGCAGCTGAGTGGCCTTGGGGGCCCTGGGATGGTGCTGGTGGGTTTGACGGCCCCTGCTTTTCCTCTCCAAGACCCATCCAGAATAGTGGAAGAGCCTAAGGGACAATCCTGCTATTCCCACCCTGGCTGGACAGAGAGACAGACATCCAGCAAAGCTTCTCCCTTGTGCAGAAAAGGGAGCTGGGGAGGGACAAATGGGTCAAGGGATATTTTTATCTACTGCCCTCTCAGGAGTCACAGAAAAGCGTCTCCAACCCTAGGATGCAGCCACAGGCCGAGGCCCCTTTAAAACCTTGGAGTAAGGGTCTTGGGCTGTGGTCTTGGGTAGCCAGGGGTTTGCCATCAGCCTGGTAAAGTCAAGCCACCCATGATGTCCCTGAAGTAAGGGCCACTTGCTCTGCTTCCGCTCTTGCCAGGTGTCATCACTGGGAGTCACCACCTTCAGCCTCTGTGCTCTGGGCATTGACAGGTTCCACGCGGCCACCAGCCCGCAAGCCAGTGCCCGACCCATTGAGCAGTGCCAGTCCATCATCGCCAAGCTGGCTGTCATCTGGGTGGGCTCCATGACGCTGTCAGTGCCAGAGATCCTGCTCTGGCAACTGGCACAGGACACATCGCCCGTGTCCGGCGTGGTAACGGAGTATTGCACCATGAAGCCCTCGTCCAACCTGCCTGAGTCTGTCTACTCACTGGTGCTCACCTACCAAAATGCTCGGATGTGGTGGTACTTTGGTTGTTACTTCTGCTTGCCTATCCTCTTCACCGTGAGCTGCCAGCTGGTGACCCGGAGGATCAGTGGCACTGACAAGAAGACCGAGTGCCGAGCGACCAAGCACAGCCAGTGCGAGAGTCACCTGCACTGCACCATCATCGGGCTGACCATCATCTACGGGCTCTGCACCACCCCTGAGAATGTCTGCAACATCGTGGTGGCCTACATGTCCCCCAACATGTCCAAGCAGACCTTGGACTTGCTCAGCCTCATCAACCAGTTCTTCCTATTCTTCAAGTGCTCGGTGACGCCTGTCCTGCTCCTGTGCCTCTGCAGACCCCTGGGCCAGGCCTTCATGGACTGCTGCTGCTGCTGCTGTGAGGGCTGCAGCCCTGACACTGCCTCCTCCAGCGAGGGCAGTGCTGACAGCAAGCTCAAAACAGAGATGTCCTCCTCCATCTTCTTTGACAAGCCCCGGGAGTCCCCTCCGCCCCTCCTGGCCCTCGGTACACCTTGCTAAGTGCCACCAGGGAGCTGTAGAGATCAATCCACCACCTCCTCCCAAGACCAAATGTTGTTTTGCCATTAGTGCCCATGTCTGGACGTGGAGCGAGCAGAAGAGACAGCTCAGGGGGCTGTGTCATGGGCGTCAAACCCCACGTTGGGCAAGTGGAGCTTGAAACCCCAGTCCCTGTGGCTATGTTGGTGGCCTTCTTGCCTCTGCCCAAAGGCCAGCAAGGACATCAGCACCCTGCCGTCCTGGCTGCCAGGCCAGGCTCAGGGAGGTTGCTGCTCTGTAGATGGAGTTGTGCCAGAAAGGTCCCATCTGAAACTATGGAGGGTTTCCATGGTGGCTTGCAGAGGACATAGCAAACACAAACTGCCCTCGTCCTGTCCCGTTCCCTCTTGCCAGCCCCCTCCACAGTAGGAGAAGGTCCCAGTGACACTATCCCTTTGGATCCAAGAAGTGCCCTGTAAGAGCTCAATAAACTAGTACCTACAGCACGTTGCACATGCAGCTGTCTGGCACCGCCGAGCAGAGCCCTGGGGAGCCAGTGTTTCAGGCTTGGATGGCTCTTTCCTAAAACCTGGGTGCTCTGGGGTGGGCATAGGCAGCTGGGGGGCACAAGGGCAGGAAAGCAGCCTTGCCAGGTCAGGCAGCACCTAAGGGAAAGGCCCCAGCCCCTCTGCCCCCCTCCCTCTGGGGTGATGCTGAGCCAGCCAGTGCCAAGCCAGCCCCCAGGAGAGTCCCCTCGGAAGCACCGGTCTTCGAGCAGTTTGTAGGACTCAAACTGGTCCCAGCACTGGGCTGAGGGGCTCCACAGCCTGCACGGCAGCCAGTTCCTCACCTGCACCATGCAGAGCCAAGGTGCTGCTGCTGCGTGGTGCTACCGTGCAGTGATGGCGGGGGGTCAAGCAGGAGTGCCACCCCCAGCACCCCTTGCGTGGGGTGAGCACTGTGTGCAGGGCTCCTGGCCTTCATCTACCTGCCCATCACAGGGACAAGAATGTCCCAGGATGATGGTTTCCAAGCCTCACATCCACCCCCTGCCCCTGCCAGGAGTCTCCGGGAGCAGCCAGGGCGGTGGAACTGGGCTGAGGGCAGGCTGGGCACCCCGGCCCCGTCCGCCAAAAAAAAATCGCCCCCTCCCGCTGGCCCCCGCCCCAGCCCGCCAAATGCCGGGGCGAGGGAGACGGTTGCTACGGCCGGGTGAATGCGAGGGGCTCACTGCGGGCTTTGTGCAGCACCGACACCCACCGGGCTTCGCTTTCGCAGCCGCGTTTCCAGGGAAACAAAAGCCATG